CACTGGTGTGCGTTTTAAGTGTACCCGAGATAAAAAAAAAATCGTAGAGAGTCCCGTTCTATTGTAATTTATCGCGGATGTATCGACGGGGCGCGGAAATTTACCGTAGAATGTACCGCGACATAGTAACTAACTAATTACCCGATCGTTTTCTCTCACTCTACTCTCTAACAGCTCCCTGCTCCATTGTCCAGTAATTCTCACTCGTTGTGTAATATATATTTTTGTAACTGTTCTCGAGCCGTGTAGGTGTTGCCCGGGATCTCGAAAGAGCACCCAGTAGCACGAGTGTACATATAGGCGAAGCTAACCGACTAGAGTTCTCAATATGTCCTCTTGCTTATACGTTTTCGGTGTGTACGGCGGTCTTCGCTGCGAGTAACGTCCCCCCTCAGCACCGGCATCAGCACAAAATCAACTGTATATACGTAAAGTGGCACCCGCAATGCTGTGTGTTTCGTTCTCTGCGTACAACGTACGCGTACATGTTGCAACAGAATAAATCCCTCGAATCTGTATCTCTGCTGTCCTTTCAATCCTGACCCACGTCGGCGATCTTTTACAGAACGTTTTCCAGTTTCTACGGCATCTTAATTAATCGTTCTTGAATTACGGTTCTCTAAACTCGTATCGGTTAAACAATTTGAAATTGAATTATTTTTTGTATACATTTTGATTTCCGTAGGGTCGTGTTAATTTGCAAAAATTTACTCGTTCCGTGTAAATAGGAGAGAACTGCTATACTTTTGTTTAGGACGAGATAACAAAAAAAAAGTAAACGACTACCTAATTCTAGTTTGAAACATTCGAATGATCAGATCTTTATGAATGTATAGTTTCAATGAGTTTCACTTACGTTTTCTTCTTTTGTTTTTAATTTTTTTTAAAAGTGCATTTTGTCCTAAAATCTTTTAAGTACTGTTTTCTTTTTATTGGTTGTAAGTACATATAATATTATATAATCATCTTAGATTATATAAATCTTCCTTTGCATCAATGGTTAATATCACATTTTAGTATTTGATGACATGAAGTAATCCTTCAAATAAAAAGAAACTGAAGAAAATTAACAAAAATGTCTGAATAAAAATATCTTAAAAAGTATCTTAACAAATATNCTCCTTTTCTTGCATAATATTTGTAATAATATTCTGTAATGTTTAACGAATCTTAAGAGTGATACTTTTTTTCTAATCTCCTTCTTCATCTTTCTTTGTGGATTCTTCAACAATGTTTGTTTTTTATTTTCCAGTTTTTTAACTGAATTATCTTCAAAAACATTTCTAATACGTTTTAAATTTTCTTTATTGTTTACTGCACTAAATGATTTATTCGCGTTCCATCTATAAACATTCTTCCCATTCATTGTCTTAACAGGTTTAATTGCTATGATAAAAAAGACTAGTCGATGCTATATTTT